TACTTGCGTATAATACGCAAACTCGCCTATTATACGCAAATAGGGGTATGGATTTGTTACTAAAAATAGCCAAAATCAATTTAATCTGAACTTTTCAAATTGTTTGTCCAAGTCGCATTTATTCAGTCATGAAACATAATACAAATGCAAAAATGTATTTGCATGTGGGAAAGTACGTAGTACTAATATTAATACCCGGCCTCTAATAGTACTAATATTTAAAATACCCGGCATCCTCGGCCAAAGCTACGTTATCGCAGCTAGTGGGAAAGTACCAAAAATAGATACATTACCTAATACCTCTTGTAAAGTTACATCAAGTTTCTAAGTAGCCAATGCTTTCAGTAAACATCTTTTAGCAATATATTATTTACCTTGTCGTAAATTAATGCGATTTTTAATAATATCTTGCAAAAGTTACTGTTAAAGCGATTTGGGTTATTTTTAGTAACAAATCCATACTACAACTGGCGTATAATAAGCGAGGTTGCGTATTATACGCAAATTGGTGGTTTTCCCCAATCTGATTATAGCCACGGATTGTTTTTTGTGTAACTGTTATCATTAACTATTGACAAAATTTCAGACTCCTGCTATGTGACCATGTGTAGCTCATTTGAAATGTTAGAGGTTCCAAGTTAAAATGCAGGTCTGGCTGTGTAGTTTCCTCTCCTGTTCATGTAATTCAAATTAACGCCATATTATATTCAGATTTATTTATTAGCTATTGTAAAAGGAGTGAAAGTGGAAAGCGCACAGCCATGATGACCGGGATCCTAACCCAGGACCGACCTCCAAATTCTAGATGGATCCTCTAACCCCTATTGAGCTAAACATAGTCACACCAACGATGAACCCAGTGAGTCCAATTCCGCTATAGTTGCCCCCCCCCCCCGCCTTTTGTATGCCCCCGCCATAAAATGGGGGGGGGGGATAGTGTTGCCCATGTCTGTCCCGTTGCGTCCCATCCAATGAGCAGGGGCATTTATGTCTTGCAGACATTTTCAAGTTTTTCAAATGTTAATTCCTGCCCCTCCCCCTTGACCGCTCCCTGAAGACAACAATATTTACAACCCTATTCCTTTGTCAAGAGTTGGTCAACTGTACAACCAGATTGGCATTTGAACCCAGGACCTTACCTAACTGTAGACAGCTTAACGGTTTGAGTTACTTGATCCAGTTCCGCTACACTATGAACGCCATGTACCAATTGTTGACGACATAATTGGAAAGCCACTATTAGATATAACCCTAGCTTTCTGCCAGACCAAAATAGTTTTTTCTTATTTGGACAAAAGATAATTTCTCTAGCAATACCTAACCAAGGCCTATTCATGAAATCATTCTCATGCTCAATCATGGATTTTGTACTCCCAACAAACTTTCTTGTCACTTGCTTAAATAATAATAATAATACACAACATTTGATATAGCGCCCTATCTAGCTAACATAAGCCACTCTAAAGCGCTTTACAGTACATAGATATACAATTTTATACAGTCAATACAATTAGCATATATATATTACTCAATTCAATATTGAGGAATTCGCAGGCGCTGCCTTATCAGGCGCTAACTACTAGTCCTATGCCACCTGGCTAATATCTTACTTGTGTATGCCTGTGTGTGTGCTGGAGATGTATTGTGTCCTGTTTGTAGTGGGACCGTGCTTCCAACGGTATCATTTATAGTGCCACCTCACTTGAATGCTACAGCACAGATACCGCAACACCCACCCCAGACCATTTTATACTCCACCTGGGTTGTTGGAGATGTGTGGGCAGGAGAAAAACACTTTCTCTAATATTCCATGCGTACGACGACTTCGGGGATCAAAACCCCGGCCGCCTGCTTGGACGGCCGGAGTGTTAACCACTCGACCAATCCGCCCATCAGATCAAACGATCAAAATGTCAAATCCAAACATTGAAACAGTATTTGGCTTTAAAGCAATTTGTTTCCAATCATTGACAAAATAAGATTTTATTTTGAATTTATAAAATAATAAAAATTATGCTTGAGCATAAATTCCATCCTTGAGCATGAAAACGGTTTCATGAATACAGGCCCTGGGGGTTATTTACTTTTAAAATGAGGTGTGAAAATTTTATGACTTTTCTCTTAACGCCCATTCTCACTTATCATGCACCATTAACCGAAAATCATGTCGCATGATCCTTCCACCACCTATGGTACAGCATATACGTCAAAACAATAGTTTACTGTTTCAACAACAAAAAAATGAAATCGTACGTTAATTTTTCATCAAGTGTACTCATGAACGTGGCAATAAACTCTATTCATCGTTGTTGCGTGACTTTTTCTGATACAAAAAGCTTTGCATAATTTTTTCAGTTTAGGTGAAATTCATGTTTTCATTTATAGTTTAAGTTTACTTATGTCTTAACAAAACTTAATTAATTCAATATCAATAATATAAGCTAAAATATGATTTTTTTGGCGATTATCTACTGTCGCAAAATGTCTTGTCAGATACGTGGTTCTATAATCTAACAAAAGATACTCTAGATTCTAGTTTTGTTTCCTGGGATTTTGATAGGAACAATGTAATTAGATCTTTTACAAACTGTGCGTGCATCATCTGGCTTAGTTTTCAAGGGGAATATCTTCAAATCCTAGGAAATCCAAAGACATGATTGCATATATAATACTGGTTAATTTGTGTACGTTATTGTAGATGTTCAAATAAATTTAACTACTACAGCCTGCACATGCTATGACATCATGACGCTATGACGTCACTCCAACAGTGATTGATTAATGAATGGAAATATTGCTGCCAGGCAGGTCTGCTAAATGACGTTTTCGTTTGGAATGGTTTCGTTGTTTAGACTTTAATGTTCAGACATTTGTACTAATTATAAGATATACTGACATTACAGTTCATCGGTTGTTGGATTGTTAAATAAAATATTGTAAACGTTGTGCTTTAAATGGATTTCTGATCTTATGTTCAGGGTTCATTACCCCTATAGAATTACCATATCAATTGTATTAATGCGCGTCAAGGAATACAAGCATATGAAGGTATGAAGGTCACAGAGTATTGACACTGGCATGTTTATTTCGAGTATGGGAGAGAAAGAATCGAACATGGGTATGCTATTGTGCGCAGACAGGGGAATCTCAACCCACGGGGTCAATTGAAATCAAATATTCCCGACAAGTGTCTGTTGAGTTGATATGGAAATGATAGGATTAGAGAAAAACATTATCCTTTAGGGTGAAACAGAAATTTCCAATCCCCGGGTGATTTCTGGTTTGGCAGAGCCTCAAGCTAGCTAGGGAAGTGAAATTTCACCCCTCTGGCTTAAAAATTTCTGGCACACCCTCAAAGTAAGGGGAAAACTATATTAATCTCCTGTAAGCAGGACCCCAGTCTCTCCAGACATTCCATCTAATTTTAATTATCAGAACATGTATAACGGAATTTCTGACAGCCAAGTTTTGTAAATATATACCTCAGAATCTCACGGGATTTGAGCGATATCCGGCTCCCTTCCTTAGCGATACCTGGCAACAGTAAACAAGTATTTGAAGGGCGGTTTTGGGCGGTTTGAACACATACGTCAGGGGCACACAGCTAGATACAAGAAGATACAAGATACAAGAAACTTTATTTAACGTCGCTTTTATCAAACAGAAAAACACCGCTACAAACATGATAAAAAGCAAAGAGAAAACAACAAATCAAGCTATACACTATCAAAGTTATATGATAAAAAGGATCTTACGTTCTTTTCCATGTCGTATGAGATTTATAAAACTCGTCACGAACAGAGGCTCGCTAAAATGAAACAATGTTAGACTCGTTTCATAAATCTCATATGACATGGAAACTCTTGTAAGACCCTATATGTTTAGTGTATTTTTTTATATTTAATTAACAATAACTGCTCCTGTTCTAGCGCATAAGCACCGATAGGAGAGTTGCTGACAAGCAGAGTCGGATCCAGATTAACGGTAAGGGGTTGAGGAGGGGAGACAACTTTGTCGACAATATCCAGAACAGCAGCGACATAGCTAGACATTAAACAAGGAAATTCGGAAATACCAAATATGCTATCCAATTCTTATATATTTCACTTTATACAGAAATGATCGTACGGACATTTTGTGAGTTTGGTGGGGTTGGCGAATAGACTGGTTTTCTTCCAACAAAACACTTTTCAAAAAATACAAACAAAATACATAATGATACTCCAAGGTATATTTGTTGTTCATTTAATGATTACAGAAATTTACAATCTTCCATTCATGGTAATGCACACCCAATAGTCGTGTTATTGTACACGTGCTGGATTATCGTCTACCTTTTAACGTACAAAAATTGCATGTCATGTTCCAATCAGCATGCACAATTACCCAAAGCATTATGTAGCCTGTCTATACACATACATATCGGCTATCAGTGGTCGGTCTCCACACAACTAACCAACAGGTTACCGATCCTGCTACTCGTGTTTGTGTCTACCTGTGATTCATGAACTGTGACACCACATGTACAACTAGACTGCACAAATATGTAAACCAGCTACAAAATAATAAAGATGAGGTTCCCAGTGTTTTATAAACACCATGAAACCTAAAATAATGGTACATAAGGCAGTCTCTGCGTGCGACTGCTACGTATTTGTGAAAAGGTTTGATTCCGAAGTGACGGTAGATGGTCAACTTCGCGAGCAAAGGGTGTTCAATACGATACTCTCCTATTCACCCTTGGCGGATCTCACGGCGAAATCGAAGTTCCCGCGTCTACATTTTGATTGGGTGCGGCTAGGTTTCGCCGACCAATCAAAACGCGCGTTACAATTGTAAATAAAAAAGATGGCGGCGCCCATCGAAACATGTCGTGTGTGTCACAACACACTGCCAACAAAGTCAAGACGTGTAATATTTGGACCAGCGTTCGCTGTTTTTGACCAGTTAAGTTATATCTTGGGGTATATTGCTGACCAAGAGGATGGAAAAAGCAGATACGTATGTGGATTTTGTTTTACAAAGTTAAATAAGCTGTCCAAAATTGATTAAGACTTGGTAAACAAAATTGAAACATTAAAAATCGAAAAACACAAATTAATTTCCGAACTTCGACAAAAATACTTGTCAAGTCTGCCACAAACACAAACACCAAAAGGATCAAAACGTCCCAAGCCATTGCAACACACCCCAACACCAAGAAAATCAAAAAAAGCTCTGTGGACACCTAGACCTACAACTTCAAGTGTTACTGCAGCGGACGAAATGACTGTTGCGGACATTTTCCCTCTACCTGTAAAGTCAGCTACAGCAGATCGTGGGGTTAAAGTTAAACTATTTACACCATCAAAGATCAAGGTATGAAAAAGTGATAATTAAGAATAAATGTACCGGCATGTCATATGATTTCTGTTTTGTTTCATTATAATTTTGTCTTATATTATAATATTATAATCTTCAAGACAACTTGTTTCTGCAGAATGCCTATAAATGTAAGGCAACTTTGATTTTCATGCACACTAAGGATATAATATGTATATATGTGTTTATCCCCTGGTTAAATATTGCACTGTTATTCATACTAAAGCATCTTGTATGTATTTCTATATAAAAGTATCAATCATTATTAGTAAAAATTGTCCTGTACCAATTTTAGGTTTAGCATTCTTGTTCAAATTTGATGGTGCAATGTTCTCAAACAGATGTTATTATGTGGATTTTTTTCTGTATTCTTACTAATCTGAAAATGTTTATTTTACAGGTGTTATACAGGATCAAAGACAAAGTAAGATCAAAAGTTGTGAGGGAAAAGGAATCCATCAGAATGGTAAAAAGTATAATGCATGGTAAACCAGGAGCAGCAAAAGCTGTGTATTCAGCACTGCAAGAACCAATTAGAAAATGTGTGTTACGCGACATAAAGGATGAAATTAAAAAATTAACATCCACATTAAATATGTCGTTGTTTCGGAGAATAGACCACAAAAGCCTAACATCATTCTCTTTTACAGACATCAACACAGAACTAAAGATATGGGCGCCATTTTTCCATGACCTGATTTCATCCCTTGTGAAGAGCTCATCTGTTGGGGTAGTGGCAGCCATAATTCTAAAGTTTCAGAATTCACACATGACAGCATTCCAACATGTAATTGGACAGATCTTGGACCACTGTGGTGCCACTGATGAGGTTAGTTGATGGTGAATAAATGTAATAGTAAATATCATTTAAACATTATAATTTTACACAAATACTGATTATATGATGCTTTGTACTGCATGCGCTTCTTGATACTGAGTTTTAAAACTAATATTAATAGTAAGGACTATTTTCATATTCAAGTTCGGGTTGCATGTTTTGTTATAGTCATTTGTAAAAAAATATATATAATTCATTAGCCCTTCATAACAAAAATATAATGCCAATTCAAAAAGTTTTATATTTTTTGTGACTTGTAAATTTTGTTAACTCTTAGTGTATTGCAGTGCTCAACAGATTGGGTGTATGTGTGTCCACATCAGCAGTGTCCAAAATGAAAAAAGAGCTACAGGAACACCAAAGAAAACATATTGAAGATTTGTTGATTAAGGAGAAAAATGCCTTAGAAAGCAAAAATATGGGTATATAGTTATTTAGCTGTACAGTTCAATGTTTTAAGTGAACCTGCCTTATTAATTTTTAGTTGTAAATACTTAAAATATTCTGCTTTTCTATAATTGTATAAATTAATACATGTATATAAATTTACTTGAGACATCCTTACTTATTGAAAAAGCAATAAATTAGTGACTTTTTGATAGTCCCTGTTAGGGTTTTGACCAAGTTATGTATTTGTACAGGACTTTATCATCAAGATTTTGTAACTGAACTTTGCAAACCAAAGGAGAGTTTAGTATTGAACACCTTGTCAAGTTGTTTGTAACTGAATTAGGAAAAGTGTTGCATGTCATTCCAGTCTTGAAATCCTTTATTAGTTCTATTTTAGTTGATAACTTTTCCCATATTTATTTATATACCTTAGGTTTAATGATTCTGTCTCCATTTTTTTAGTCATTCTGTCTGTAACACTGATCTGTCATCACTCCAGAAGCTATTTTCTTGACAGATTTTAGTTTAAACCTTTGAGATATGTTTGCTTTGAGCAATGATATAAAAAAATGAATATAAAGGTCATTGCTCGATAGTTAAATTGAGGTTGGAATTGGGTTGGTATATTTTCAGACATGCTCATTTCCTCTATTACAAGATTATCTTTATCTGACTAGACCATTGCTATTGATGATTTTCTTATTCTTTTGTTATATCCTTTACCCTTTGTTTTATATAATACATTTATGATCAACTCAGTTCAGTGATATTTTTTTTCTATTTTCTCTTGATGTAGAACCTGCATCTCAGACTGACAGAGGAGAGAAACCACAAGATGAGACGATGAAAAGGAACAAGTCATGCGATATTATAGGTGATAATGTTGACATTAGTAGGAGTCCATCAAAAATGACAAAAGATAAACGCCGACAAAGTTGGCACTGGTTTTTACTGGTTGGGGTTGAAAAAAGAGTTTTGAATCCTGATCTTGCAGACATTGCTCCTACAGCTGACATCAGCCTGTTAGAAAATTCCAAGTTTATTCCAAGTCTGGAAGAATGTCATTCATTGGAGGAGAGATTTATATTTCATATTATGAGAGTTCTAGTTAAGTATGTTAATTGTCTAAAGAAATATGAATGTTGTGTGCCAAAGTATCTTCAACATCCATTCCTAAAGGAAACATCCCAAAAATCTGATTTTGCTATATTAGATTTGTTAGACAAAAGCGAGAACAAAACAGAGGACATGATAAGTATTTTGGAGAATATTCATGACAGGTATATTCCACATGATGCTGAAAATTCTGTAATAAAAAAGAAAGTGTTTGGTGGTGATGTGCTCACAAACGAGCGAGCATACTGGGCTCAGTTAGCAATGCTGAACAGTCAAAGTGATTTCGAGAAACTTGCAGGAGTAGTACATAGGCCTGAAGGACTTCATAGGATGATGAATCTTCTTTTGGTAATCCAGTTGAAGTTGAACCAGTTCATATTGTTCAAGTTACAAGGCATGTCATATTTCTGTTTACAGTTTTTCTTGTGTT